CGCCGATTAGGGTAAGAAAAACTGTTTTCCAAACTTTCTTTAGTGTCATACGTGAAAACTGCGCGACCCCAATTCAGAGTTGAATATTTATTAATGGAAATTGAAACCAAAAGAATGTGCTTTGTTCAGGGGTTTTCCATAAGTTCAAAAATATAAACCACTGAAAAGGGGACTTTAGAAACCAAATAATTTCCCTTCGGATTTTTACCGGATAGGATTCTCGTGGTACCATGAGCCTAAATATTAATGAGGAAAATTTTTCTCCCGCATCAGTTTTTTGACTTGTAGAACATTACTGTGTTAGTCTGAAACAAATAGCGTCGATGACTTCATGGATTTAAAAAGCTTCGTTCTTTTTCAGTCTCGTGATTCAACATGCGGTTCTTACTGACAAAAAAATGATATTAAAAAAGTACAAAATGTTGTTTACTTACCAAACATTTGTTAATTGCTAGTCGGAAATGCAGTTAATTGCCTGACACGGAACTCTCCAAGAAGCCGAGAGAGCAAAAAGGAAAAACAACATCCACAACAAAAAAAAAATAGTGGGCTCTCAAGAACAATGTCTGTTCTATTTATAAAATTCCTCAACCAGAGATTCGATTGGCCAATTGATACTATGGTTTGTTATCATTTACCATTCAATAATTGTAATTGAAACCTAACGAGCGTGTTTCATCGATGAATGCCTTTTGCTACGAGTTCGGCCGCAATAAGTATACATCATCGCGTCATAAACTATAACAAGGAAGGATGTATCAAGTTTTGGTATGTAAAGGTAATTTTTCCTTGCCCGTAGACGGAAACGGTGTATCTTATGGTCTCTTCTGTAAAACAAAGTCTTGATCGCATTCTTATTTCTTACGCTCAGGCAAAGTTATGTGTCAAGATAAAACCTAGCGGGCAATTATTGCTTGCGGTTGCATGAAGCCCATTAATTGAGGTGATACGCAACTGATGCAGTTCTAGCTGGTATCCCATTGAAAAGAAACATTTCCCTGATAATATTTACACAATTTATACATGGCACTGATTTGTTTTCACTATCATTACAAAACGAAATTAGAGATTTTTCGTCAGTAATTAGAAAAGTGAGAGAGTTTATTTACTGGACTCTTAGAATAAACTGAAGGAGCCCAAAATAAGCTGAATACTCACTGGGAAAAGGTCAAGGTGGCAATCGTGTATCAATTAAAAGACTGCCAAACTTTCAAAACTGGATAGTTTTAAGATGGGCCGAGTCACGTCAGGTTTGCATTGGATTTCGAAACCGAAATCCCTCTGGCGAGAGGAAAAAACAATGATGCCCTTGATTGGGTCAGGCTCAAAAGCTAGAGCTTGATGCAAAAACCTTCTTTTTATTAAAGAGCTATCGTCATTGAAATACGAACTGCTAAAGTGATCGTGTTCAGTGCCTCCCCATTCTCAAATTCAACTGAGGAAAGTCCTAATATCGTCGTTATATCGTTATTAGCTAGCCTGCGTAGCAGACGCTTGGAATTAGTGGGCACAAGAAAAAACGGGCGCGCGAGAAGGAGACATGCGCGTCCCCCTCAAGCGCGCCCGTTCTCTGTTTCACCCACTACTTCCAAGCGCCTACTACGCAGGCCAGTTATTAGCTTGCGAGAAAGCTTTCTATTAGGGGGAGTCACAATAAGACACGCGCGATCGCGAGCAACATGTGAAGGGAGAAGAGAGTGCGAGGGCGGTTTCACTCCTCACTCGCAAAAGAGAACTTGCTCAATATACATCCTTCCATCTTGACATCAAGCTTGCTCAATAACGCCTTCAATTAAGCATTCCCCCATTCAAAAACCCTAGGAAAAATAGGTACAATCTTTAGGTGTAGCGAGATCTGGGATCGCTTGAATGACTGTGGACAAGCGTTTGTTATGATGGATATATGGTCGATGGTATTCAAGTAAGCCGGTAACCAACCATTAGTGACGCTTGTCCACCCAACTAATTAAGAAATCGTTGCGCCGAAAGCTTGTTCCCATTCCCCTTATTATTTGCAAAGCGAGGGCAGCGAGGCCCTCGCGTAGCAAAGGTATATAATTTTGTCAAAATTCGCATTATCTAAAACCTTGCTTTCGTCTCGGAAATCAGCCTTGAAATTTACGCTCACCGAGGCACACCCATTGCAAAATTAACTTAGCACTTTTCGCGCTGATGGGTTAGACTGTTTTCAACTCAGTACTCGGCCGAATAACTTAGTGAACCCGCCGTGTTTGTTTGATTGCTATCTTTTTTCTCATCCGGCGGTCGAAGTGATGCTAAAAATTATTTTCAATACACTTTTAAGAATAAAACAGGACAAAAAAAGGAGAAAATAAAGAAGTAGGGTTCTAAACGACAATGATATTCGCAGCGGGTCAGCCATCCAGTTTGGAACCCCGCCTACACGGCATAACTTGAGTGGCGGTATTTTTAAACGCCTAGTTGGGCAGGGAACGCGAGACACATATTTCTAATGGTTATTAGAATGAAGAATTAAACT